TTCCGGCTTCCGGGTGCGAGGGGCCGGACCTGGGGCCCCGCCGTCTACGCCCCCGCCCGCAGTGATGCCCGCTGGGTCCTCCCTGCTCCGGTGATTTCCCCGGCCGCTCTCCTCCTCTTCCAGGCTCCTCAGTTCGGACTCGGCGTCCTACCTCACCCAGGGTGGGGCAGTCAGGGAGTCTGGGTTTCCCTCAACCTGGGTGTTGTCTTCCGGGTGCGAGGGGCCGGACCTGGGGCCCCGCCGTCTACGCCCCCGCCCGCAGTGATGCCCGCTGGGTCCTCCCTGCTCCGGTGATTTCCCCGGCCGCTCTCCTCCTCTTCCAGGCTCCTCAGTTCGGACTCGGCGTCCTACCTCACCCAGGGTGGGGCAGTCAGGGAGTCTGGGTTTCCCTCAACCTGGGTGTTGTCCTTCAGATGGATGTCACCTCGCTTCTCAGGCCGTTTAAAACACTGCACGTCTCCCTCTCCTGCTTTGTCTTGCACCAGTTTGATACAGGTGATAGTACCGGAGATGAATAGGAAATCTTGTATCCCAACCTGTTAGATGTCTGATACGCCGAGCTCGCGTTCTCTAAAAATCAGAGAATGAACTCTAGGAACAACGGAGTTCACGAGTAGGAAGATATTGTTAGGAAAGCACCTGAGAGGCAGGAGGAGTTCCGAATGAGTAACTGGGGACCCCCACTTTCCAGAGGCGTTTTATAGAGCAAGACCCACGTGGGTGCAAATTGGGCCACAGCCATGATCAACCAATAAAGTTACAAGAACGGCCACTTAGCCGACAGTGGTCCATTTGGGAAACGAGTCACATAACCAGTGTGGAGGGAAAGAACAAAGACTTCGTCCAGAAATGATGGGTCCAGAGGTCTCTGGTTACCACCGGGGTGGCTGATATCTGTCTAGACTTCATCAGGCTCAGGGTTTGTCCTGCGAGGAAGTGTGCAGGTCTGGTCATCTTGACGTTATCTTGAGGCCCAGCCTCCAACAGATGAGTCTCCAGCTGCACCTGTGGTGTGTTTCACCTTTGTCCTGACTCTCTCGAGCAACTAGTCCTCTTTGACTGCCTATAGTATTTCTACCTAGCTCAGCTGTCTATAATAAGCTGACATACTATATATATTTGGGGGGGGTTGAGACAGGGTCTCACTATGTAGTTGAGACGGACCTGGAACTCACTGTGTAGCCCAGGCTGGTCTCAAACTCACAGTGATCCTCCTCTCTCAGTCTTCCAAGTGCTGGGATTACAGGCGTGTGCCATCACACCCGGCTATATATATTTTTTAAAACTAAACTCACATTAGGTGTAGTGGTTTTTAAAATTTTTATATTACTTATTTAGGTACTTGGGATCAAACTCAGGACCTTGCGCTTGCAAGGCCGGCAGGAAAACCACTGAGCTAAACCCCCGGCCCATATTTTGCTTGTTCAGTTTTTATTGTCTGTCTTCTTGCTGGAAGGAAAACTCCCTGGGGTTTTGGGTTTTGTTTCTTGTTCAGTTACATCCCCACCATCTAGAATAGTGGTAGATTTAGTACCAATAGTAGGGAGATAATAAATAGCTATTTCCAGGGCCTGGGGTGTAGCTCAATGATAGAGCACTTGCCTGGTAGCATGTGTGAGGTCCTGGGTTTGATCCCTAGCGTAGCAAAAATAATTAAGTAAATAAACATTTGTCCCTGAATTATTATTCACCATGATAATGTTTGAACACTTAACCTGATCAAGCAAGGTGCTAGGCAGTAGACAGGCACGGCGTCATAAAAATTGAATAATTTCCTGTAGTCTTGGAAACGTGTGGGCATCTCCTGCCTATAGGTTCATTTGTCATCAAACACTATATCTCTCACTGCTTTCTCGCCATGAGCTGTCCTGATGTGGGAGGGCCCTCTCACCTCCACGCAGCCCCCTTGGGGCTGCAATACCGCCCATGCAGTCAGATCCTCGAGTTCCTACCCACCTTCCTCCTACGGCTTCTGGTTCAGGATGAAGTTAGTTAGACCATATGGGAATTACAAACAAGCAGGGCCTCTGTCATGGGTCCACTTCCAGACCTAGGGCAAAGTGATCAGCCTGTGCTCTTCCCTCCCCAGCATTGTTTCTCACGGAGTAGTCTATGCATCCGTCTTTTCCGTTAACTGTGTCTGCACCCCAGCACCTGTCCTGGCCAGGACAAACACTCATTACTTAACTGATGAATGAATAGGTTCTGGAAATTCTTCAGAAAACCTTTAGCCAACCATGTAATACATCTGGCTTGCAGGAATTAAAATATACAGAACAAGAAAAGCGGTATAATTTTGGGGGGGATCAATGATTTCATTAATTTAATTAATTTTTAAAATTTATTTTAAGTGGTCTCTATGTAGTCCAAGCTGGCCTTGAACTCACCGTGTAGAACTGGCTGGCTTTTAACTAACAGCAATCCTCCTGCCTCAGCCCTTAAGTGCTGGGATTACAGACATACGCCACCATACCTGGCCCCAGTGATTTGATTTTTATAAGGTCAGATATTCCGTGAATGCTTAGGAAAATATCTGATGGAAGCAGTGTATCATTGTACTTTGGGAGAATTTTGGTTAACCAGTTGTTAGGTTAAAGGGCCGAAAAACCAGGACCAGACCAGGACTATAATAAGGCTTTATTATGGGGTATCTGCCGGATTGTCTCTAAACAAAGGAGAGACAGCAACAAGGTAGCACGGGGAGTTTCTTTTATAGGAGCAGGGTGGGGTTAGCCTGAGCTGGGGTGGAGTTGAGTGAGGTAGTATTAAGGGATTGGAGGAGCCTCTGACATCACTAGCTGTTAGGAGGTAGCAAGTATTAGGTTACTTTTTTGGTGGGAGAAGAGCATGATGGGAAGAAGAAGCCTGTCCTTTGTTGGGAGAAGCCACGTTCTAACATGGCGGCTGCTATTCTATGTGGCAGCCATCTTGAGACAAGGGAAATCTAAATTTTCAAAAAAACCTTCATGAGGTCCAGGTCCAAAATGGCGGTGGTGTCAATAGCTACATCCTCGGGCTTTCCACTATTGGGTCGGTTAGCTCAGCAGGTGGGGCGGCCTAAAGTGAGAAGGGCTAAGCTCGCATGTGGAAGCCCTCACCTGTATCATAGCGCTCCCCGGGGTGGGACTGAGCGCGCTGAGTGTTGTCCTGAAGTCGCACCATGGAGAGGAGACCCGAGTTTGTCACATCAGGTCCATCTCCACATTAGGACCAGGTCTCTCCATGGGGAGATGGTAAGCACACTCTGTTCCATAACCCTCATGTGAATCTGCTTCGGGCTGGCTATGAAGATGAAGGAAGAGAACCTGGACCATTATTACCTAGGCATCAGGGACCAAAGCTCTGATTTGAACCATGACTCTGCATTCAGACCAGAAAAGCATAGGAGACCTTAAACTCACCTTCCTCACTTGTATCAAATGATGACCATCATATGATCCTCCATCCCTTTGCTTGTGGTGAGAGATGGCTCAAATAAACCACTTAGACTCTGAGTGGACTTTAAAAAATCATAATGAGCATGTCAGTTGTTTTTTTGTTTGTTTGTTTTTTTCTTTCTTTTTTTATAGTGCTAGAGGTAGAGCTCAGGGTGTCCTGCCTCCTCAGCAGGCACTCTTGTCACTGAGCATCAGTCCTTAGCATGTCATTTTGCTGCTTACAATTATACAATGCAAAATAGAAGCAAGATTATGAATCTCATGCAAACAAAAACAAACTAACTACATGGGCTGGGTGTGGCAGCACATGCCTGTAATCCCAGCACTCAGGAGGCTGAGGCAGGAGGTTCACTGTGAGTTCAAGACTGGACTGGGCTACACAGTGAGTTCCACGTCAGTCTCAAGTACATAGTAAGACCCTGTCTCAAAAAAACCAAAAACAAAACAAAAAACTAACTACATGGAATGGATGTAAGGGCCCTGAACCCTCTGGGTGGAATGCCTCGGGGACCGGCGCCCCATCCCTAAGGAAGCTGTACTGGGATGCAGAGCATATATGTCCCCGTCCTGCAGGTGGACAGTATTATCTCCAGGTCCAGGTAGGGAAGCACCTCAGGGTATTAGGGGGTCAGGAAAGTGCTGATACTGCGACCAGGCACCTCCACTATCTGTCTGCTGTCTGCTGCCCTGAGCGTCCCCCCAGGTTCCCGCACATGCAGGACCATGCGCCCCTTCTCTTATCATCATTGCAGAGCCAACTCGTAGAGGTAAGGGGAGGCTCAGTCCAGACTCCTGGAGCCAAGCCACTCTGCTGGAGATTTCCCAGGGGGAAGTCACTGGGACTCTCCCCAGGTCAGGGGATTGCCCTCTCCACCCACAGCAGATATACCCAGGGGCAGCCCAGTGACTTCCTTCTCTCAGGAACGTGCTGGGAGAGGGAGGGTGTGGTGAGACTGGTGAGACACCTGGATTCAGAACAGAAGGCTTGGGTTCCCCGCTATCTGCCAGCCATGTGATCTGGGTAACCCCACCCCACTGTGCCTCAGTTTTCTTATCTGCAAAGTAGAGACCTTACTGCCTGGTTCAAATGAATTGCAATGCTGTGATTTGTAGCTCTGTCCCAGGGAGGAGGTGCAGGTCGTTTTTGGTTACTCTGTGCTCTCCCCTGTCTTCTCTAATTCAGGGCAGGGTCCTGCTCCTGACCGTCTGTGTGGCTGGCATTGGTGGCACTTTTCAGTTTGGCTACAACCTCTCCATCATCAACGCCCCAACCTGGGTATGTACGTTGTGTCCACTGTTACCGTCTCAGTGGGCACTGGGTGGGGACCATCAGCTGCCCATGGTGGGGCTTCAGCTCAGCATCTGTTTAGTAGTGCGTTCTCCATGTTGCTCTCCATTGTCCCACGGGCTCCTTCAGGTTTAAACTGAAGCATAGCACCCTTCCCCCGTGATGACAGTGGTCACTTTAATGGAGGAATAAGGGCTGTAATTGACAACCTGGGAGAACTTCCTCAAAGAATTGTTTGTTTGGTTTTTGTCTTGTTTTGTTTGAGACAGGGTCTTGCTGTGTAGTTCAGGCTGGCCTTGAACTCATTATGTAGCCCAGCTGGCCTTCAACTCGTGGCAATCCTCCTGCCTCAGCCTTGAGTGCTGAGATTACAAGTGTGCACCACCATGCTCTGCTAGAACTGTCTGTTAACAGAGGACATTAGGAGCGTATTCTGAGCAGGAATAATGATGGCATCCCAGCCCCATGAAGAAAAGGGATGGACTAAAAGGTTTAGAAATGGAGGTATGAGCTGGCTGCATTGGATTATATATTCATTGCATTCACCAAGCATTTGATGCCCACTTCCATGGAGGCTCACAACTGTGGAGGGGACCCTCCATGGCAGTCACAATCAACCTTGCCTCCCAAAGGCCATCTTCAGTCCTCAAAAATGTGCTTTCTTGGACTTGACAGCTCCTGTGGCCCTGCTGAATGATGTTAAAGAAAAAAAAAACTCTATTAAAGAAATAATAAATGAATGACCCTAGTAAAACCATGGTTATGCAAAGACAAGTGGGAAGGAACCTGATCAGGTACAGAGGATGATCAGATACAAAGGATTGCGGGGCAGGGATTTAGCTCAGCGTTATGGTGGCCTGCCTTGCAAGAGCAAAGACCCAAGTTCAATCCCTGGTACCAAAAAACAAAAACAAAAACAAAAACAAAGGATGGGGGATCCCAGCTGAACCAACTTAGCAAGTCTTACGTAGAAATTATAGGAGGCCATTGTTTTGAACTCAGTTCCATGCTAAAAAATCAAAATGGAGTCACTCCCCCTAAAGTTCCCTATCATCAAGCTAAAACTAAGCCGATTATTTGGCCTTCTGAAATCAGGATTAGGGAGATAACAGCCAAATTTCCCCAAAAGGCCAGTGTCGATTGGCATGATAACAAAGATGTCTCTGCTTTAACCCTAGCATAAAAGGAGTAACCAAAAATACGCTGATGTCAACCAATCAGTTATTTTCCTATTGTGCTGTCTTTCTGTCCCTACTTACCTTACAATGAAAGTAACCTTAAAATGACAAATTTATGGCTCACGCCTGTAATCCCAGCACTCGGGAGGCTGAGGCAGGAGGATTGCCATGAGTTCAAGGCCAGCCTGGGCTACATAGTGAGTTCAGGGCCAGCCTGAACTAAAAAACCAAAAAAAAAGACAAATTTCCTGTTTGTTTCTGTTTCTGCTTTATTTCAGCACTTTTCTTTCTATAAAACTAATCTTGTTGGCTTGGACCAACAAAACTCTATGGAACAAAGTGTTGCCTGGTTCTAAGATGGAAAATAAAGCCAATTAAACTTATTTATTTATGTATTTTTGAGGCAGGGTCACACTATGTAGTTTAAGACGGACTTGAGCTCATGAAGTAGCTCAGGCTGGCCTCAAACACATGGTGATCCTCCTGCCTCAGCCTCCCAAGTGCTGGAATTACAGGCATGTGTCACCATGTGTGGCTAATTAAACTAAATTATTTTAAGTCAATTGTCCTTTGACGTAGAATTCTTGCTAAACTTGGACAGTGCAGACGATCACTGAAGACCAAAAGTTGAGGCCTACTTGAAAAAGAGCCCAGAAGAGCCTTATTTCCATTAAGTAGTGAATCTCTGCTAATAGCCAGTCTTGGGGGGTCAAAGGTCAAGACCGAGGGAGGCTGGCCCTAGTCCAACTCCTCTGACTTCCTTCCTCTGAGGGGAGTGGCATCTATACCTTGGAGCTAGCACCCGTAGGGGAGACCTGGCCAACACCTGAACCCGCTGGCCTCCTGCATGTCCTGTTGGGAAGCCTAAGACTGGTACTGCCCCTCTGACCAAGGACAAGTGTCCCCGTCTTTACCGTCTCCCAACCATATGGCTTCCATCTGCTCCCTCGATGTGGTGGTCTGGGAGCTGAGGCTGTGTGGAGAGCAAACTAGCTGGGTGCAGCCTGGGCCCGTGGCTGAGGCCTTAGGCGAGTTGTTCCACTTGTCTGGACCCAATTCTTGGTGTTAGCAGCCATCAGAGTTCTGTGTACTTAATAGAGCACCCTTACTCTTTGGTGTCATGCAGGGTGGGTTCCAGAGTACCCCGTGGATACCAAAACCTACGGATGCTCAAGTTTCTTACATAAAATTGTGTAGTATTTGCATAAAACCTACCTATATCCTCCCGTAGAATTTAAGTAGTCTCTAGATTACTTATAATACCTAATACAGTGTAAATGTCACGTAAAGAGTTGGTATATTAATTAAGGAATAATGACAAGAAAAATGTCTGGTTAGGGTTCCAGTACAGATACAGCTGTTTTCCTACGTCTTTTTGATCTACTCTTGGTTCTGTCCATAGATACAGAGGGGTGACTGTATTTTTGAGGCTTACCCCAGTCAGGGTTCCAAGAAAACACATGGCTCACGCAAGATAAGTCAAGTGGGTCTGGGTACCACAGAGGATGAGTCACAAAGGATGATTAAGTGGAGGTAAGGGAAACACACACAGCCAGGGAAAGTGCAGTAGTACAGATTTAGTAATACCACTGTCTCAGCACCTCTCCCCCAGAAAGAGACAAGCAGAAGGAATGATGACCAAAACGGAAGGAATGAACCATATCACACAGGCCTCTTCATGAGGAGCAGTGGACCTTGGCCAAGGGTTGCAGCCAGCCTGCGGTGACGCCACAGACAGAGGGAACCAGATGGACCTCCAAGTTCCTCCGTCCCTGCCTCTAAAGTCCTATTGGAACTTTCCATTGGCCAAGTCCAACTAAAACTCAGTCAGCAAGGGAACCCAGTATCTTTGTTACTTTTCTCATTTCTGAGGCAAAATATCAGACACCCAGAGTTAGAGGAGGAAAGCTTTATTTCAGCTCACAGTCTGTAGAGGTTGGCTAGCTTCACGGCGGAGAGGCGTCACAGAGGAGAAACAGTACATAGCAAGCAAGCAGGGGACATAGCAAGCAAAGCAGCAAGCAGCAGCAGCAGCAAACTACCACTCCCATTACCCACACCCAGGACTACGCTCAATCAGTTAGTGGACTGATTTTGTAATCACGTTCCCTTAATCCCAGTATCATACACCTTAGATGAGCACCTCCAAAAAGCCCCACCTATGATGGCATGAGGCTAGAGAGAAGCCGTAACACTCAGTGATGTGAGCTGCACAGGTGGCTTCCTGGGTCAAAAGCAGAGTGAAAATGTGGGATAGTGGGCTGGGAGCATGTAGTACAATTTGAACTATAATTGGTCTTTGTCACTGTTCCTGGGGTAGAGCTTCTAAAAACCTTTGGAGTTTTCTGAGTGATAGGAACATCTTTTATCTATTTATTTTTTTTGTAGCGAGCCCCTTTTGATCATACCTGAGTTTATGCTCATGACGTGACTTTGAATCAGGCTCCTGTGGACAGCTTCACATATATCACCAGAAAGCCCAAGTGATCAGAGTGTTAGAACTTTCATTCCCACCCCTTGCCCTCTGGGAAGGCGAGAAGCCTCAAGATTAAGCTGTATAAATTTTTTTTTTGCAGTGCAGGCTGGCCTTGAACTCACAGCAGACCTCTTGCCTCAGCCTCTCAAGTGCTGGGATTTACAGGTGTGCATCACCACACCCAGCTTCTATAAAAACTCTCGACTAATGAAATATGATGAACTTCCAGTTTTGTGAGTACATTGAGGAGCTAGGAAGGTGGTGCCCTGAGAGGACATGGGAGCTCCAAACCTTGCCCTCTGCAGCTATAGCATCTGATTCTTTCTGAGTTTTATCCTTTATAATAAACCAGTAAATGTAATGAAACTGCCTCTCTAAGTTTTGTGAGCTATTGAACCTGAGGAGAGGATTATAAAAACCCCATTTTATAGCTGGTCCGTAGAATCCAGGAGGCCTGGATTTGCAATTTTTATCTGAAGAGGTTGCAGTTTCATGGGACTGAGCTCTTTGACTTGTAGAACTGGATGCTAACTTCAGATAGTGTCAGAACTTTGTTAAATTATAGTACACCTAGCTGGTATGCGGAGAGTTGGAGAATTGATTTTTGTGGGAAAAGCCCACACATATACTGCCGTTACGTTGTGTGAGTATAGAGAAACAGTGAAATCCCAGAAAGGAGGAAATAGAGAAATCCAGCTCCGGCTACAGAAGATACAGAAGGTGAAGGAAAGCAGCACATGGGAGGTCAGGTGACTTTGTTCCTCCCCCCTAGGGAGCAGTATTGCTCAGGATACTTGTGCCTGCTCTGCAGAGGCACAGAGCCTGTAGGGGCTCTGCTTTTCTTCCCCTATTCACAGCGGGCTGACTGGCATCTCTGTCCACAGCACATTCAGGAATTCACCAATGAAACATGGCAGGCACATACGGGAAGACCACTACCTGACCACCTGCTGCTGCTTGTGTGGTCCCTCATTGTGTCTCTTTTCCCCCTGGGGGGCCTCTCTGGAGCACTCCTTGCAGGGCCCATGGCCGTCATACTGGGAAGGTAAGTGCTTTCTATGTATCTCCTGTTCCTAAGTTGCAAACAAAGAATCTGACTTGAACCCACTTAATAAAAAAATGTAATAACTGGAAGGGTACTGAAGTAGCTCACAGAATGGAAGGAAGTGCTAAAAAGACAGGCCGCAAGAAAAACATGGGTCGAGGTAATTTCAAGGATCTCAACAGCCAGACCTTTGGAGTTGGTTCTAGGAAGGACAACTTCAGCACACTCAGCTCTGTCTGTATTCTGTTACCAATATCTTCAAGACCCAGCATTCAGGAGGATGAGCTGTTATTGGTCTGTGCTGGTTTACATGACTACATCTGTGCAGGAGTGGAAGAGAGGCAATGTGAGCAGAAAAAACAAATGGCCACCACAGTCCACCCCTTTGCTAAGTACCGGCACACATAGACATCTTTCTCCTGTCCCTACCTGACAGCGCTTAAGCTTCCTATGCACACCAGCATGAGCATTCACTGCTCCCTAAGTAATACCACTCAGAGCATTGTCTTGCCACACACACCAGGGCAGTGTAATAGATATTCTTCCTGAGGCCGGGAGGTCCGTATGATCAGAATTCTGTTAGCCCTGCTCTCTTGACGTTCTGCACTTAATGATAAATTTAATTACAGTAGCCTTTTCTTATCTGTAGTAAATCTGTTTCAAGAGCCCCACTGAATGCCTGAAATCATGAATAGTACCAAGCCCTATATAGTCCATGTTTTCCTACATATGTAATAAAGTTTAACTTACAAATTAGGCACAATGAGAGATTAGCAGCAACAATGATGAACTGGACAATTCCGACAATATACTAAGATGAAAATTCTTTAAAACTCGTGATTTGCTTATTTCTTTCTTTCTTTTTTTTTTTTTTTGGTACCGGGGATTGAACTCGGGTCTTTGAGCTTGCAAGGCAGGCCACCGAACCGCTGAGCTGAATCCCCAGCCCCTGATTTGCTTATTTCTAAAATTTTTCATTTAATATTTTGGGGCCACAAATGACTGAAACTGAAAAGCGAAATAGTGGTTAAAGTTAGTCAGAGTTGCTGAGGGGCACGTGGAGATGGTCCCCCTGCACTGAGCCACAGCTTCTCCTACCTGTTTTCCACTTCCCCCAAGGAAGAAGTCCCTCCTGGTGAATAACATCTTTGCAGTGGTAGCCGCGACCCTATTTGGATTCAGCCGCAAGGCTGGCTCCTTGGAGATGATCATGCTGGGAAGACTCCTCGTGGGAGTCAATGCAGGTATGGGATGAGTGGGCGTCTCTGGCCACCTCTTTGTTTCTACTCATTCATGAATGTTCCTTCTTACCTCCTCTTTATTCATGGACTTATCTTTCATGCATGTCTGCTTGTTTTACAAAATGACTAGACAGGATTTATCTTAAAGACACATATAATTGCTGGGCACGGTGGCACAAGTCTGTAATCCCAGCACTCTGGGAGGCAGAAGCAGGAGGATCACAAGATCAAGCCCAGCCTAGGCAACTTAATGACTTTGCAAGGCCCTGTCTCAAAGTAAAGAGTGAAAAAGGTGCCGGGGATGTGACTCAGTGAGAAAGCTCTAGGTTCAGTCCTTGGATACACATACCTCGTATAACCAGACATTTACAGTAAATATTAAGGAGACTGTTCAGGAAAAGGAGAAAACATCCCCAAATTTATTCCAATAATAAATCCTGTGTTTGAGCAACACTCTAAGCATGAGATTCCTGGCAGCCAAGGTGTAAAGAGACATAGAATGAATCCTTTGGTGTTCCCTGCCAAGTGTCCAAGGCTTGTCATGTGAGAGAGCAGAATTGTGAGTAAACTCATCAGAGCTTTTAGTAGCTCCAATCAATTAAGTCATATCTTGACCATCTACTATTTATACATCCAGGTATTGCTGTCTCCATTAGGTACCCATTCCTGTGAAACAGATGTCTCCAAATTTACTGGCTTAAAACAACCAACATTTGGCCGGGGAATTTGGCTCAGTGGTTCTGCTGCCTGCCTTGCAAGTGCAAGGACCCGAGTTCGATCCCCGGTACCAAAAAACCCAAAAAACAAAAAACAAAAAAACCCAACCAACATTTAGGGCCAGGGATTAGTTCAGTGGTGCTGCCGCCTGCCTTACAAACGCAAGGTCCTGAGTTTGATCCCTGGTACAAAAAAGCAAAAAACGAAACAAAACAAAAAACCCCAGCATTTATAATCTGCAGTTTGTGCGGGTCAGGGACCAGGAAACGCCTTAACTGGGTCACTCCAGCTTGAAGTCTGTCATAAGGTTGTGCTCAAGCTGTCAGCCAGGGCCGCTGCTACCTGCAGGCTTGCCTGGGGCTGGAAGGTGCTTCCCACGGGGTTCTGCCGTGTGCCATCAGCAGGACCCCAGCCTCTCACCATCTGGGTCTCTCCATGTCCTCACAGCTTGACGACTGGCTTTCTCCAGGAGTGAGGGGCAGGGAGGAGAGGAGGGAAGAGGACAGGGGAGGGGATGTTCTGGTCACACACCACTTCCCCACATTTGACTCATGGACCCTGGATCCTTAAGAACAGCACACACATTAGGGGGAAGGACCCAGGCCGGACTTTGAGGTTGGGCCCTGCGTACTCAAGAAAGGATGCGACAGCAGGGGAACCCCTGAGGCTCCTTAGCAACACATCCACCTTCCTCTCACCTCCCTCTGCCCAAGCCCATAGTGCAGAGAGAGGGCCGGATATTGGGTGGAGTGTCTTGGGGAGTTGTTTCCAAGTTCCTGGTATCACAAACAAAGAATTGAGCAGGGGTAACAGAACAAGATTTATTAAAAGTGAAAGAAGCCGAGCACACTCCACACAGTGGGAGCAGGCCAGTGAGAAGAGTCACAGCCCCCACAGGGGCCACTACCGGGTCTCTCAAGGTTCTGGGATTATGGGAGGATCTAAACCTGGGGTTAACTGGAGTCATGGCCCGATAGGCTGCTCGACTCAGCCCTTGAGTCAGAGGAGTTTTTGACCACACAAGGTTTTTAGAGGAAATGTCATGGCGTCCAAATCCCACTTGGGGGAGTCAAACTCCAGTGCAGATAAGGCTGGGGGCTTGTACTTTTGGTTTTGTGCATTCCGGGGAGTCTGGGGGTGGGGTAAGGTGAACTTTTTTTTTTTAATGTAGTTCAGTCTAGACTTGAACTTACTGTGTATCCCAGGATGCCTTGAACTTGTAGCAATCCTCCTGTCTCAGCCTCATGAGTACTGCCATTACAGATGAGTGCCAACACGCCCAGCTTCTATTGGTTTTCTGATATTTTGACACAGTTGTCCTTATTCTGTCTAGGTTGTTGATGCTTTGCCCCATGGCTTCCTGCTGGTTATTTCTGCTCTTTTTCCCTTATTCAGACTACCAGGATTAGGGCAGGGCCAAACCAATCACTCATGTGTAGTGGTTTAGTGATCACATGCCCTTGGTCCTAGCATCACACATTCCAGATTTAGCTACCTTCAAAAAAGACTGCATTGGGAAGCCGGGTGTGGTGGCGCACGCCTGTAATCCCAGCACTCGGGAGGCTGAGGCAGGAGGATCGCTGTGAGTTCGAGACCAGCCTGGACTACAGTGAGTTCCAGGTCAGTCCAACTACATAGTGAGACTCTGTCTCAAAAAGCAAAACAAAAAAAAGACTGCATTGGGGGCTGGGGATTTAGCTTAGTGGTACCGTCACTTGCCTCGCAAATGCAAGGTCCTGAGTTCGAACCCTGGTATACCCCCCAAAAACAAAAAAATGATAAAAACCAAAAAAGACTGCATGAGCTGGGCATGGTGGTGCACTCCTGTAATCCCAGCACTCAGGAGGCTGAGGCAGGAGGATTTCTGTGAGTACATAGTGAGTTCCAGGTCAGTCTCAACCACATAGTGAGACCCTGTCTCAAAAAGCCAAAACAAAACAAAGAAGACTGCATGAGGGTTTGGGGGACATCTAGATACAAGCCACAACAGGAGCTGAAAGACTTAAGTCGTCCCAGAAATCCTGAGGGAAGGAGGTCCAGTTGGCCCTAGAGCAGATGAGGTGGAGCCCTTTAGAGTATATAGGGTGAGTGTGTAGGGGTATAGTGGCCCTTAGTGCCAGGATCCAGTGGACAAGGGACAGAGTGGTCCCTCATGAGGTGGAGAGGACCATCTCAGGTGCGTGGGGGCCTCCTGGTAGCTGATAGGCCCCTGCCATGCATGCTTTCAGGGGTGAGCATGAACATCCAGCCCATGTACCTGGGGGAGAGTGCTCCCAAGGAACTCAGGGGAGCTGTGGCCATGAGCTCAGCCATCTTCGTAGCCCTGGGGATCGTGATGGGACAGGTGGTTGGACTCAGGTAAGGCTCCTCTTCCCTGTACATTGAATGATTTCAAGAACGCTAGTAAAACCTTTCTTCACTCAAATTTTTCCCCTACCCACTACATAAATTAAGGCATTGCTTTTTTTTTTGCATGAAGCCATCAAATTTCTATCCTCATCCTTATGGCTGATACACAAAAAGCCAAACACGCTTTAGTGTGAATCACTTTTTTCCCATCCTCTCCAGGACAGGTAACAAAGAACAGGTCTTGACAGATTTGGGCTTTTAAGGGGAATCCTACCCTGGTCATCCCATTAAAAAATAAAAGAGGAACCAACAGAACCTGGACCGCTGGGAGGAGGAGGTGCTAGGGATGAATGAGGTGGGCAGGGGCCTGCCCTACCCTCTCTCGGTTTCTACCTGGGTGGGAAGGATCTTGATGTCCAGATCCAGAGTTGGGCTGAAGGGGAAGAGGTACAGGGCTCTGCAAGTAGGTTAGAAGGTAGGCAGGGGGTTAAAAAGGAGGGGAGACAGGGTGAAGGAGGTGCCTAGCCTGGCCTGTGTTCTGCCTCCCCAGGGAGCTCCTGGGTGGTCGACAGGCCTGGCCCATGCTGCTGGCCAGCTGCCTGGTGCCCGGGGTGCTCCAGCTCGCCTCTCTTCCCCTGCTCCCCGAGAGCCCACGCTACCTCCTCATTGACCGTGGAGACACCGAGGCCTGTGTGGCAGGTGAGTCCCTGCCCCTGAGCCCCCAGACCACCCTTGATCCCAAGATGCATTTCACAGGAGCATACGAGTCCTCATTTCTTTATCAGGGAAAAGCTGTCCTTTCTATGCCTCAACACCACCATCTGTCTGTACATCCCTTCCAAACTCTTTATCAAGGCGATGTCCTAAATCGTAGGACAGTGAGGTGGATCAGACCCAGCTCCTTCCTTTCAGGAAAGCTAAGGGAGTGCATAAAAATAGCCACATGCAGACACCTGAGCAAGCCTCCCCTGCCCAATGCTAACTGGACGATGAGAGACACTATGGCTATAATAAGGACGCCCACGGAACAATCACAGAGATCTCTGACTTAAAACTGTAGCCATTTGCCACACCTTTTACTCATTTACAGCTCTGCGGATCTCAGCTGGGGCCAGCTCGTGGTGAGTCTAGGCTGGGCTGGGCTGGGCCAGCTCAGTTCTGCACACATCTTTCCCTCTCGGTACCAATGGGCTAGCCTAAGAACCTTCTTAGTGTGGGGATTGCAGAGACACAAGAAAGTGAACCCCACTGCACAAGCACTTTCCAAGTTTTTAGTCCCCCATGCACAACAACATTCCATTGGCCAAAGGGAGTCGAGCAGCTGAATCCAAAGCCAAGGGTTGAGCAAAGTAGTAGAGCATCCTGTCCTGGGGCAAGGGGTGTGAATTTAGGGAGCAGTGAAGACCTGGCCCGTGGATGTGCTTGTCTCAACTTTTTGTTTGTGTGTTTTGTTTTGTTTTCTGGTACTGGGATCAAACTCGGGTCCTTATGCTTGCAAAGCAGGCACCAGAACTACTGAGCTAAATCCCCAGCCCTGTACTCGTGTCAATTTTCCATCATAGCCACAGTGTGTTTTCCTTGACTCAGGAGTCTTACTGCGTTTGCTCAGGCTGGTCCTGAACTCCCGAGCGCAGATGATCCTCCCTCCTCAGCCTCACGAACGAGCCACCAGGCCTGGCTGTGGCTACATAGCCAATGCTCTCTTGGCATATGGCTCTGTATTTTCTGCCTTATGCAAAATATGTTCAACCCCATCCCCAGGTTCCTCAAAGTCTCATCCATTCTCAGTATCAGGCTGATGTCCTGTATCCTAAGATCACATCAAGTCTACAGATGCTTTTCTTGTGGCCCAGAGATGTAAGGTATAAAAAGACAAATCTTTATCCCCCACCACACTCGGCATACAGAAAAGTGATACAGGGTCGCCAGAATTAAGATCTGATTTCAACACAAGGAATCTTCAGAAGGTACAGAGCAGCCACTGACCCAAAACGTTATTGGAATGTCCCTAGGAGCACGTGGCCAGGTCTCCCGGCATGGGGAGAGGAATTTCCCTGATCCAGTCCTGGCTCTGGCCCCAGGAGGGGCTTCCAGGCTGTAGTTCTCTGTCTTCAGCACTCTGAGAGAGCCTCCCTTTTCCGTGCTTTCCTTGATGCTTTCTGATGGGGTTTGGTGGTGAAGCACATTTCCCAGCCTGCTTTCTACCTTTAGAAAGCTGAGGGTACGGAAATCTTCTCGTGTCAAACTATTTCTGTCTCTTTTTTAATCCAAAGGGGCAGATCTTTTGCCAATACAATGTTCTCAAAATGCGGGTGTTTTCTGTGTGTGTGTGTGTGTGTGTGTGTGTGTGTGTGTGTGTGTTCAGTGCTGGGAAGTGAACCAGGGCCTCATAAAACCTAGGTAAGGGCTGTACCATTGAGTCATGCCCCCAACCTGGTTTTCCCTGTGTTTGATAGAAGCAGGTAGGTGGGGTGGAGGGGGAGTGGGAGGGAAGGATTTGGGGTTGGAGGGAGGGCTCACCACGGGGCACCGAAGAGGGGCTGAGGGAGCAGGAGCTCAGCACTCTCTCCCCCTGTATCAGCCCTGAAGTGGCTTCGAGGTGACAGGGACGTGACCCAGGAGCTGGAGGAGATAGAGGAAGAGCGTGTCGCCTGCCAGGGCCGACGTGCTCAGCGCCCGTGGGAGCTTGTCCTGGATCCTACCCTGCAGAGGCAGGTGACCAGCCTGGTGGTGCTGGGCAGTGCCATGGAGCTCTGTGGGAATGACTCGGTAAGGCCCTGCTCTGCCCTACGCCTGGGACCTGAGGTCGTGCGGTAGGTAGGCGGGAGCCATGGGAGACTAAAGGGAGCCGGGAGCCAGGAGCTGCTCCTCCACCCACCCCCTTTCAGGTGTACGCCTACGCCTCCTCCATATTCCTGGCGGCGGGAGTGCCGGAGGAGAGGGTCCAGTATGCCATCATCGGGACTGGGAGCTGCGAGCTGTTTGCAGTTCTTGTCAGCGTGAGTCTGGGCCCACCTCCACCAGCCCTGGGGGCGAGGGGGAGGCAGGGCTCAAGGTACTGGTGCTTCTAGGACTGCAGTCCTCTGCATTAAGCCGTTTGCCACTTCCGCTCACTCTGTAAAACTGCAGCCAGTCCGTGAGCCTTCATGGAACACTTGTGCTTGCTGGGCGTTCACACCCCCATCTGGAGATGAAAACACTAAGTGAAGTTGAATAAGTGATTGCGAGGGTCCTCAGGGAAATGAATAGAGTCACAATCTTCTGCAACACTACATCGCTCCCTGCTGCCTGCTCCCTCATGTCACCCCTCCCTGTTGCCTGCCCCTCTGAGTGGCCCCTTTCTTTTGCAGTGTGTGGTGATTGAGAGGGTAGGGAGGCGGGTGCTGCTGATAGGGGGTTACAGCCTGATGATCTGCTGGGGGAGCATCTTCACAGTGGCCCTGTGCCTGCAGGTAGCCGGGGGAACGGGGTGGTGGCTGGGCCAGGTCGGCTTTCCCACCTCACCCTCCACCCCGTCTACTGCAGGGCTCCTTCCACTGGATGCCCTACCTGGCCATGGCCTGCATCTTTGCCTTCATCCTTAGCTTTGGCATTGGCCCTGGTGAGTGAGCCCAAGGGCGTCTGGACTTCAGGCCTTGCTGAATGAATAATGGATGTCTAGGGGAGTAGTGGGTGGGTGTAGATGAAACGTCACCTGCAGCCCCTGGAGCCCACCTGTGCTGAGGCTTCTGGGAGAGAATGGTTTTAGGACAGTACCCTGGGACCCTCATGCAGACTAGGCCCAGGTGAGGGACAGGCAGAGGAGGAAACCCAGGCTGGCAGTTTTCCCTGGCCCCTCTCTTGCAGCTGGAGTGACAGGGATCCTGGCTACAGAGCTGTTTGACCAGACAGCCCGGCCCGCTGCCTATGTGGTCTGTGGGGTGCTCTTGTGGACCATGCTCTTCCTGGTGGGGCTGGGGTTCCCCTTCATCCTGGTAAGTCCATCCTTCCCCTTGGAGTGGGGGGGCCCTGCCTCAAATTTTGTCCTTGTCACCGTGACCACCTCAGCAGGAGGCCTCCATCCAGGGAGATTGACACTGTGACCCTTGTGAGCAAAGGGGCGGAGACCCTGCTGAGGACTTGTCCTGGGCCTTCTGTTGAGGCCTGAGAGAGGCCACACCAGTCTTGGGGTCTCTTTTAACCCACAGGAGGGTTTGTCCCACTTCCTGTATGTTCCTTTCATCGGTGTCTGTGTCTGTGGGGCTGTCTAGACTGGCTTATTCCTCCCTGAGACCAAAGGCAAGACCTTTCTGGAAATCTCCAAGGAGCTACACAGACTCAACTCACCCAGGCAGGCCCAGGGTCCCATGTGGACCAGCCCAGAGGTCATCACATCCACTGGTCTTTAGCTGCAAAGCCAGTTGCGGGCCTTTCCTTTGCTTTTTACATCACTGGCTCCTGCTCCACCCCACCCCACCCTGCTTTTCTTTTTGGAGTCAGTGTCTTGCTGTATACTTCACACTGGCCTTGAACTCATTTATGGAGCCCAGGCTGATCTTGAACTCACAGCAATCCTCCTGCCTCAGCCTCCCAAGAGCTAGAATTACAGGTGTGCACTATCATACCTGGCCAGAACATTTGTCTAATTGTAGTACTAGAAGAATGTGAAACAATAAACTTTGTTTTAGAAACTGATTGCCTACATGGTAGGTATTGTAAAGCATGGGGTATGAATACAGTGAAAAGAAATCTTCTTTCAGCTTTGTGTTAACTCGGTTTTCTATTATTATGACAAAATACCTGAGAAATATGAACTGTAAAGGAAGAACTGTTTCTTTTGGCTCAGGGCTTCAGAGGTTTCAGTTCATGGTCACTGGACTCCATTGCCTTTGGACCTGCAGTGGCCCAGTACATCATGGTGGGGGCACATAGTGCAGCAACTGCTTGCCTCAAGGCAGCTGGGAAGAAAAAGAGAGAAGAGAGAGGAGGGGGGAGAGCATGTGCAAGTGAGCCAGGGGGTGTGAATGACGCCCTCGGAGGAGCTCCTGCAAAGACCTCACCTCTTCCCACAAGGCCCCACTTTTTTTTTTTTTTTTTTTTTCGGTGCCAGGGATTGAACTCCGGACCTTGTGCTTGTGAGGCAGGCATCAGAACCACTGAGCTAAATCCCCCAGCCTGTCCACTATTTTTATTCAGTTGTCTTATTGTTTTTGAATTGCAGTCATTCTTTATACATTTTGGATCCCAGTACTTTCTCAGATATATGCATTGCAAATATTTTGTTGCAGTCATGGGTTGCTTTCTTCATTTTCTTGTTAGTGTTTCATTAAAAAACAAAAATGTTTCTAATAAAATAAGTGGAAGGGCCAGGATTAGACCTGATTACCTTGGATAAGCTTGTTTGTGCACATGTGAGCAGAAGTGTTCAGCCCATGTATCTGGAGGGTGCCCAAAAGTGCTCCCTCTGAGGAGAGTGGCCATGACCCCAGCATCAGGCCACCTGCCCGATCCCAGTCCCGGTGTGGTCTCTTCCCACTTCCTACAGCATTTGATCAACACCTCTCTTGGCATGAACCTCTCCCTCCTCTGCTTGCTAATAACCTAGGCATATGAGTCTCAGTCTCCAAAGACCGTGGGCCCAGGGTCCAATCTCGGTTACATGGAGCAGAAGGCTCATGTGGTTGTCTGGCTGCCAGGCTCAAGATGGTGCTCCTGAGAGTCTGGAATTACACAGTATGCAAAGGGCTGTTGTCCGTTCTTGAGTCTACGCTCATTCTCTCCTCTTAGTTCCGCTGGTTTTCTTTGTTGGGACACAGCTTATTTTTTTCTCCATTCCTCAGTGCAATTGTTCATTGATGCCTTCAGGTTTGCACATAGCCACTAGCCCAATACATTACGAGGTCTCCCTCGACCCCGTTCTCAGGCTGCACCCAGGGTTTCTTTTTTTGGTACCGGGGATTGAGTTTGGGTCCTTGCACTTGTGAGGAAGGTGGCAAAATCCCCAGCCTGTACCCAGGGTTTTGAGGATGGCAGCGATGCTCACCTGGAAAAAAAGTACAACAATCTCACAACCACAAAATGCTAAGAGTTAACCTATATGGAAGGTGTTCTGTGTATCAGGACAGTGCTTAGTGCTTTGTAAGAGTCAGGTCTTTTAAGCCTAAGTAAAAACCCTATGAAATTAGCCTTTTTATTATCCTCTTTGTACATACCAGAGACTGAACTATGTAAAGGCCAGTGGCTTTTCCAAGCTCATACAGCAAGTGGAAGGGTCAAGATTAGCCCTGGGTGACTTTGGATAAGCTTGACTTTGGAACTTTGATCTTGCACTCTGGTCACCCTGCACACTGCAGAGTCTGGAGGATGCCTGACCTCAGTATTGCGATGGTGCTGAGATGCAGACTACTGACAATAGCCCTTGAAGCCTGCACTGTGTTGTGCTTCTTAGTCCCCATTTTACTGGGGTCATGGAGGCCCAAGCCCAATCTGCTGTAGATTAGAGGTGGAGCAGGGTCTCAGGCCAGTGCTCTCGGAAATGGTGCCAGGACTGGCTGGAGGTGGTGTCCATACAGCTGGAGGATGTAGAGACTGAGCACCAGGAGGCACAGACAGCAGGGAATTGTTGATGACTTGAGAGAACCAGACATTCGGAGAAACGGATGAAGTGAAGCTCAAGTACCTATCTTGGGTGGCCTTGTAGAGGGTCTCATGGCAGGAATAGATGCTGTTACAGTTTGGACCTAAAATGCCCCTCAAAAGTCTCATGTGTTCAGAGGTGGGGCCTCAGGAAGGTGACTGGATCATGGGGGACGTACTCATCACTGATGAATTTATAGTTGAATGTGCTGTTAGGAGGTGGGGTGTAACTGGAAACAGTGGGCCACTGGGGTCCTGCTTTTGGAGGCTACTTTTTGTGGCAGGGTTTTGCTATGTAGTTTATTAGTTCAGGTTGTCTTGAACTCACTATGTAGCCAAGGATGGCCCTGAATTCATGGCAGTCCTTCTGCTTCAGCCTCTCCAGTGCTAGGATTACAAGCATGCATCACACCTGGCACACTCAGGCTCTTTCTCTCCCTCTCTCTATTTCCTGACCACCATGGGTTGAGCAGCTCTCCTCTACCATGTCCTTCCACCAGGCCATTTGTGCCTCGGAGCTAACCAACCATGAACTGACCTTTGGAAACCATGAGCCAACACCCCACCCCCACTTTTTTTTTGTGCTGGGGATCGAACTCAGAACCCTGAAACTGCAAGGCGGGTGCAGTGCCACCGAGGTAAATCCCCAGCCCAAGAAACTTCTTCCTTATGTTGTATATGTCAGATATTTTGTCCCAGCAATGGGAAAGTGACTAATACAGATGCCAACTCCTCACGTACTCAGCTCCATGGGGTTACACATGCGTACACATCCATACGCACAAGGCTGTTTTTAGAGGGAGATGATGACAATGCTTCTTTTGAGGCCCAGGGGTATGAAAGCTGAGAGATACATGGGGAGGTCTCGTGGATACCACAGATGCTGTTATGTGGTGATGGGAAAGGCCTCATAGGAACAAAGGAAAGGTTGGAAGGAAACACAGAATCCATCTGACTTCCAAGGGGAGGGGCCTGGCCCCCAATTTTTTTTTTTATCTTTTCCTTCTACTTTCACTTTTTTCTTGTCTCTTCCTTCCTCTCTCCTTCCATGTTCCCTTTCCCATTTGAACACTTTCTTCCCATTTCCCAACATCCATTATACATTTTAGTCCTTATTTCTACTTTCAGTTTCTCACACCAGAGAAACAATGTGTCTGATCAGAGAGCAAATTTACGTTTGGGAATGGAGCAGCCCAGCATGGGTATCAGAGCAGGAGAAAACAAGAGCAGAAAGGTAATGCCAGCTAGTGTAGACTAGGTGGTAGTGGCAGTGGTGGTGGTGGTGGTGGTGGTGGCGGCCGGCGGTGGCGGCAGATGGGGAGAAGTGAAGAGAAAGGAACAGTGGAGGGAGACAAATTTCACTGGCAGAGAGGTGTGGGAGGGAAAGTCACCCACTTAGATGTGGACATAGGGAGCAGGTGCTGACTTGTTTTTGGCTACTGGGGCTCAGAGAGGCTCCCTTAGCCTGAGACATTGCATGGGTGTCAACAGTGCAAGAGTAGTCACAGAGCCATGGGCTCAGGTAGGACTGGAGGTGTGAGACCTAGAAGGGAAAGGCCTTGGGCCCATCTGGAGGAACAAACACTTACAGGCAACTTTCATAGATGGGCCATGGGGTCCCCTGACTGGAGGCTGGCTAGTGGTACAGGAGTCTTACAGGCCCTCATGTCCTTACTGTGCCACATGGCCATCACCAAGGCCAGTGGGTACTGTGCCATCATAACTACATTGTGCCTGACAGAGATCAAAGGCAGGACCTTCCTGGGGAATACCAAGGACTTGGCCAAATGCAACATGCCACATCAAGGGCCTGAGGTCAGTCCTGCAGCGTAGCCAAGTGACTGGAGGCCTCCTCCGAATGAGAGTAGGGTTGGCTATGGGCCACAGATCCCTTTGCCCAATGATGGCAGGGCCTGAAGGCTCATTCTACCTTGCATGGCAGAGTCCTAATCCACTTGCCACCTTGCCCTCTTGCTGTGTCATGGCTATCTTCTTGCGCTCATCCGTTTATTTAGCCCATCCTTGATGTCTCATGTATATTGAGCAGCTGCTAGATGCTCCCTGAGGGTGCCATTTGTGGAAGAGACAAAATCCACCAAGGGCTCCATCCTTGCTGGATCGACCAGACTTGGATTTCCCTGAGGTAACTAGCCTAGGGTAGGGTTTGGGGTTTGCCCACGGAGGCCTGGAGTAGCACCTTTGAACAGCAGACTTCCGGCCTCACTTCCTGCTCCCTGCCTCCCCTCTGGGCCTCCTACTGTCCTCACTGCCTTACAGAGCACAGACACGAGCCCACGCGGGCGATACGGGAACATGTGGCTCTGGAGCCTTAGGACCCACAGGAATCAGTAGGTGCGGTAGAATGCGTTGAGTTTCATCTTTCTACTCGGCGGAGCTGCAGAGCGCAAGGGGCCGTCGGCTGGGTTAACGACCTCATCCCCACTCCTGGCTCACAGCCTCTAAGTAACCATTAGTGAACAAGTGAAAGGACTAACAAAGAAACAAGTCGAGACGGGGAAAAGCAGATTTCTGGCGCCATGAAAACGGCTCTGAACGGGGAAAACCGGAAGCGGAAGCGTTGCGGGAGGGCGTGTCGACCAGGGACCCGCCCCATCAGCCGGCGGTGACGTCACGAGAGGCGGGGCCGCTCTCTGGTCACGTAGCTCAGGTTCCTCCGCTGGGGCCGCGTGAGTGTGGTCCGGTGCTGCTGCCCTCGTCCGGTCGCCTCTCCGCCAACATGCCGATGTTCGTGTTGAACACCAACGTGCCTCGCGCCTCCGTGCCGGACGGGTTCCTCTCCGAGCTCACCCAGCAGCTGGCGCAGGCCACTGGCAAGCCGGCCCAGGTTTGCAGGGAGGAGACGGGAAGAGAGGGTGGCCTCCAGACGAGGTGGACGGACATGAACGGGGGTCGGGGAGGAGTCGGGAGGATGGCGGCTCCAGCCCGAAGGGCGCCCTGGGTCCTGGCGGGGCGGCTCCGACGAGCTGAGCGTGCCCCTCCCCCAGTACATCGCAGTGCACGTGGTCCCGGACCAGCTCATGACCTTCGCGGGCTCCTCCGAGCCCTGCGCGCTCTGCAGCCTGCACAGCATCGGCAAGATAGGCGGCGCACAGAATCGCTCCTACAGCAAGCTGCTGTGTGGCCTGCTGGCCGAGCGCCTGCGCATCAGTCCGGACAGGTGCGTGGGGCCGCCGAGGGGCGGGCAGTGTGGACCCCACACGACAGCACACGGAGACCCTGGTGCTGAGCCCGGTTCACCGCTCCCCTCCTTTGCCTCTCGTAGGATCTACATCAACTACTACGACATGAATGCAGCCAATGTGGGCTGGAACGGCTCCACCTTCGCTTGAGGGCCCCTCTGCTGATTCCCCCTGCCGTCTCCTCCAGGGTCCTGCCACCCAGTATTTTGTACCCGTCTTCCCCCAAGGGACCGCCCCTCCCATCACTACAAATAAATGGTTTGGAGACCACAGCCGTCTTGGTTTCCTTGGTCTGTGGAGGAATTGGTGCAGGGTGGACTTATTGACTGGGACCCCGTGCTAGGTTGGGTGGAATAGCAGTGGCGGGGTCAGGGCCAGTTTGCCCTCCTTTGAACTTGCTGTTTAGGACTCTGGTCTCCAGCAGGAACCCCAGCTTTGGTGTTGTGTCAGTGCTGAGACAGATTGGCATTTTGCCAGAGATCAAATTCAAATCTGAGCCTCCCAGTGAAGAGTTTGTTTTTGCCCTCCTGGGCTCATATACTACCTTGGGGCAGGAATCCAGAGTTTATGGGTATTTCCATTTACTGGAGCTACCCCATGGGGCACTGTGAGGTAGTTCTGGAATGCAAGTGGAGGAAAGAGAAAGGGTTGGTTGGGATCAAACCTCACCTGACCTCGGGTAGAGGATTCCCTGGGCCTCACTCTTTCTCGGTCCCATTTTTCTGCACCTTCCAGATGAGTGAAGGATAGCTTGAGAAAAACCCAGAGTAAACTCACTCCACTCACTGCTAGACGGTGCTCCAGTTGCTTGACCTGGAAAATCACTCGTTTTGTGTGGACAATTTACAGGTCCGTTGGTGGAGAGGTACACGGTATGCAGAGTTCACACCTCCCTGCCCACACCCCAACTTTATGCCTGCGCTCAACTCCCCCAGCACTGTGACAAAACACCAGTCCAGAGCATGGGCACCGGCTCTTTTCCTTGTCTTGCTTCTCCACTGCCGCAAGAGTGAGTAGTTTTGCTCTGCCAAGCCCTTCAGCCATGATGTGCCGCCTCACTTCACCCTGTGCCCACTGTGGTAGAACCAGCCAACCATGTACTGAACCTCTGAAACTATGTGCCAAAATAAACCTTTCCTCTTGTAAAGCAAAACAAACACCAGGCCAGGGTGTGTATGTGTGTGCGCGTGCACGTGAACATGCATGTATGTGGATGGTGGTGGTACTGAAGTAGGATAGAAAAAATAAATACAGACAGAAAGGAGGTGGGAAGTTGTAATTTTTGCTTTTTAGGTCAATATGTATCTATTTAGTTCATTTTTTTCTGAAGTTGATCCCAAATCTTAAACCCTCAAGCAAGTCACAGGTAACAACGGGCCAGAAATTTGTCATGCCTGGTGTTCTCAGCATGCTCACATACCTCACCCATGTTGTAAGCGCCCCTGGGTGGAGAAGTGAGTTGCAAACACTTTTAGAGGCATAACTGTAATGGAAACAAACCACAGCCACTAGGTGAAATGGGCTGTCAAGCAGTTTAAGCCTGTGCAACATCTTGGGTACCACCTTGAAACCTATGTTCCCCCAGAGAGCAGTAGAAACACCTGTTTTAGAACTCTTGTTCACAGTCTGAAAGAGCTGATTACTTCTTGCATTGTGCACAACAAAATTTCACATGGCTAACATGCCTACTGAGAACACAGTCCACAAAATTAAAGCGTGGAAGGGAGTGTGAAAGGGAACAAAGCATTCATTAAAATTAAATTTTAAAAATGCCCATCAGAATTTTGAAAGGCACAAAGGGGAAAACTGATGATCCTGGCTGCTTCTCAGCCAAGCCGAAGGGGAAGTGGAAGGCTGATGGTGAGCGTACAGCCCGGCTCCAGGCACAGGCCCCAGTGCACACCATGCCTCGTGCCCAACACTCAAGTAGTAGGAGCTGTACATACAGCTGGCTGGATGACGGCAGCAACCTGACATTTTTTTTTGGTTTTTTGAGACAGGGTCTCACTATGTAGTTGAGACTGACCTGGAGCGCACTGTGTAGCCCAGGCTGGTCTCGAACTCACAGCAGTCCTCCTGCCTCAGCCTCCTGAGTGCTGTTATTACAGGCATGCGCCACCACACCCGGCTTGACATTCTGTATGTACAAGTAAGCAACCTCCTGGATTTTTTTTTCCCCCAGCCCTCCTGGATCTTGATTGAGGTACAAAGAACTTTTCCTACTCAGTTCCTCTCCTTTTTCCTGCCCCATCTTATACAAAACAAATATTGACTTTCCAAAAACTAGCAGGGGGTTCATTATACTTCATAGGGCTGGAAAATGAAACCATAGACTCAGCTTTGCTAGGAGGTCTCCAGTCTCCGTTTCTTCCATTTCCTTTTCCATTTTTTCAGTCCATTCCTTTTTCCATCCCTTGAGAACTTTGCGTAGTTCCTTTCATCAGGCCTGAGACTCAACTTTGTGAACCGGGTTGGAGTCTCCAATTCCAGCCCCTTCCCCTCCTCTCCCCGACTTCCGGGTAGTTTTTCCTCCCTGTCCTTCACTGTGCCCGCAGAGATCCTGGTCACAGTGGCCTGTAGTAACTGCCTTCTAACGGAGCAAAGCGGGGCTGTTGTCTGAGCCCTGTTGCCAAGGTAACCCACTCTCCCGGGTGGCTTCGCGCGTGGGCGGGGACTCAGAGGGAGGGGGTGGAGCGGGACCGGCAGCCCCTCCCCCTCCTCCCTTCACAGAGGGCTCGGGAGGCGGAGCCAAGTCCCGGCCCTCCCTGGGCGGACTGGGACAGAGCTGGAACCCATCTGGCCATAAACTGGTCAGGAAGCAAAAGAGTGAAAAGGAGGAAGAGACTGGTGTCCATAATCCCCTTCAGGGGAGCACCCCAGTGACCTAATTTCCTCCATTAGGCCCCTCCTTCTAAAGATGTCACCACCTCCAATAGTCCCACCCTGAGGACTAAGCCTCTATTAGTCATCTTTTGTCACTGTGACTAAAATACTTGAGAAGGTCAATTTAGAGGAGGAAAGATTTTACTTTGGCTTCACGGTCTCAGAGGTTTCAGTCTATGCTCAGTAGACTCTAAGGCAGAAATGGCACAATGGAGAAAATCTGCTGACCTCTTGGCAGCCTGGAAGCAGACAGCAAGGAAAGAAGCTGGAGAGAGAGGACGGGATTAGGGAGAAGACACACTCTTCAAAATCAGGCGCTCAGTTCTACTTCTCCCAGCCTGGGACCCACCTCCTAAAGGTTCAGACCAAGGCTTTAATACATCCCTGGTAGGGATGATCAACACCCAAACTGTAGCACCCAGATGCTGGCTCTCCTCCCAGCCTTTCCCAGATTCACCTGTAGATCCCCCCAACCCTTACTTCTGTTCCCTATGAAGCCCCTCCTGCCATGTTCTGCGCTGAAGGCCTGGCACTGGGAATTGTCTTGCATGAGCCCTTTTCACAGAGTGTCTATGAGGTAGGACCACAGAGCACACGCCCACACAGGAGTCTACCCCTTGTCAGCCTTTGTCAGAACCCTCTCCCTACGCCCGAGATCTTCTCAGATTCTTACTGTTGTGAGAATTCTAGGCTTCCTGGCCTCATAACAATACTAAGGGAAACAAAAAGTTCCAGAATTCAGAGTCAGGTCAGGGTGGGCCAGGATCTCAGGCCGGACACAAACTCAGATCTGTGGCCAGCCCTCTACAACTGTGGAAGCCACCAAGTAGCTCAGCATGGGCCTGGAGCTCTACATGGACCTGCTGTCAGCATCCTGCCGTGCTGTCTACATCTTTGCCAGGAAGAACAGCATCCCCTTTGACTTCCAGTTTGTGGATCTGTTGAAAGGTGAGTTCTCACTTCTGCCCAGGCAGGCCTGACCCGGGGGGAACAGCCAGCATATCCAGGTAGGGGCATTTCCGAGGAGCAGAGTCAATAGACCAAGGAGATCCCCATAAAGGTAAAGAGAAAGAAGAGGTGCCAAAGGTGCAAGGCACCCAGGCCACATCCCTGTCTAACCCTACTTTAAGCAGTCCTCACTAATGATAGCCTTCTGCTGAGATGAAAAGGCTCCCAGGCAAAGGGGAAGGAAAGGTTCCTAGGGAATCCCCAGGCTTCCAGTGAGGCACCCTTGCCATCATCTTATATGGGTCTCACATCCTGTTATGTGCCCTATCTGCCAACCAGGCAGGTAAAGGTCATGGTCATTCCCCTTGTGAAGGTGTAGATGGTGTTTAGTCCATTCTCCTGATAATTCAAACCTGCTCAGTAGGAGAGTACTTGCCTAGCATGCATGAGGCTCTAGGTTTGATCCTGAGCAATACACACACGTTATGTGGAAGTTAGGGTGAGTGTGGTAGCACATGCCTGTAATTATCAGCACTCAGAAGAACAAGGCAGAAAGATTGCTGCAAGTTTGAGGTCAGCTGGGACTACATAGTGAGACCTTGTCTCAAAAAAAAAAAAAGTTATGTGGATTTTAAACTTGCTTGGGCTTACACAGATCCCACGTGAAGGTTAAGGGACTGGGCTCCAACCAAACCTCAAGAAAAGAAGCTCTAAAAGCTCAGCTTACAGACAGAAGCCTCCTTGAGGAGGAGATATGGGAGCTACAGAAAGGAAGTTTGGATGGAGCAACAATATTTCCACTTCGGAGGGATAGTTATGGAAGGGATTGGCAAGCAACACACAGAGAGGCAGCAGAATGGACATAAAATAACAAACGTTTACTCCATCGATGGGGATCGATGACATCTAATGGTGGTGCCCCTGATCGATCCAGTGCTGGGCTACAACTCCTCCTTTTAAAGGGTTTTACAGCCTCGATCTCATTCAGGTGGTTACATTGCATTTCCACAGTTCACACTGCTGAAACTCAAAACACGTTGGCCAGGCAGTTGAACTTCAACCCAGATGTAGCACTTCTTTGGTAGGGGAGGTTAACTTTAAAATTAATTTAGTTATTCTAGCCCAGGGGAAGCGGGTGTGTCTGCTCAGCAAAGCTAACAATGGTTCTTTTCATTTACAAAACTTTTGAGGGAGCCTAGATGGCTCTGGTGTGGGTTAATTCTTTTTTTTTTTTTTCCTCTCATTCAGTTTATTGGTACATTTTTGGTGTACAGTACAGTTACATTCATCATTGGTTTCTTGTACCTTTACATGACAGGTCTTGGTTCTCATTTTTTCCCCTTGTCCCTGCCCTCCCTTCACCCCCTTCTACCCTCTCCATTTACAAACACTTTATTTCCATTTTCTCATATTTTTTTTTCTGGTGCCATTTTTTTTGTTGTTTGTTTTTTTGAGACAGAGTCTGACTATGTAGTTGAGACTGACCTGGAACTCACTATGTAGCCCAGGCTGGTCTCAAACTCTCAGTGATCATCCTGCCTCAGCCTCCCGAGGGCTGGGATTACAGGCTTGTGCCACCATGCCCGGCTCCGGTGCCATTTAATTCTGAACTAAACAGAGTGAAGGGGAGAAGTCATCTTACATGGTGACTTTTTCTAGGTTTTTTGCTATTAAAGTGTTCTCTGTCAGGATCACAAGCTAGTGTGGGTCACAACCATAGAAACAGAATTTGCTGTGCCATAGGCAGCCCCAGGAAAAAGAAAAATTGGCTGTTCCACAGAGAACTCCAAGAGAAACATTTCGCTTTGGTGGGGGCTCTCAACGGAATATCGTTATTCATTTTTTCCCCAAAGAGGGAGAGTGGAATTTTAGTAACTATGCAGGCATGAGTTTGACCATGGCCCAAAATGTGCATAGGAATATGTTCCGTCCGCCCTCTGTGCTGAGATCTTACTATGGAAATGCAATGCAAGGAGGATACAATGAAGGTTAAGGCCAACTGTCAGTCAGATCCTTCACCAACTTTGGTGAGTCTCTTCCCTTCCGCTCTTGCAACCTGAATATCACCTTCTTGCCTCCAGCAGCTCCTTTCACTGATGACCTGATTTACCTTCCCCTTTCATCACAAACATCACAGTTGCCTGCTTGTTCTCCTTCGGGCTAACACTTCAAACTCTTGCCCATCTGCCCTGCCGTGATGCAGGTGGTCTTTATTCTCCCCAGTGGAGTCTTTGTTCAGGTCTGATGACCCCAGTTGTATCTGCTGGGTGGCCAGGCGGATATTCAGCTGTGTGTTTTTTTTTTGTTGTTGTTGTTGTTTTGTTTTGTTTTTTGTTTTTGGTACTGGGGATCGAACTCGGGTCCTCGTGAGGCAGACGGCGGAACCACTGAGCTAAATCCCGGGCCCTCAGCTGTGTTCTGAACTTTTGCTTCTGGCACGGTCAGTTGCTTCCAGCGTGGTCAGCTACTGCTGCCCCGCTTCCCTAAAAGGGGAGACTGGAAGGGATGGCAGGAACGGGCGTGGGACCCAGGCTCCCACAAGTTCGGTTGATTCACAGGCTGTGGCTGGAGACCTCTGGCTTCTGTGAGCCAAAGGGCTGTCTTGGTCCATGGGCACTAGGGTCCCCAAATGTGGGGTGGAAGTAGACTAGGAGGCGGGAGTTCTGATCCTGGTCCCTGTTCTGCTACTGAGGTGTGTGTGTGTGTGTGTGTGTGTGTGTGTGTGTGTGTGTGTGTACTGGGGATCAAACTTGGGACTTTGTGCTTGGGAGGCAGGCAGTGGAACCACTGAGCTAAATATCTGGCCCTACTACTCACTTGTAACCTGGGCAAGCCGCCCAGTTCCTGAAGTCAATCTCACCTTAGAATAGAACAGAAGGAATTTCTATCTCAGAGAGTCCCATTTTCTCTTTCCTGAGATCCCCTTTGTCTCAAAGTCTCCCTGCTCCTCTCAGGTCACCACCACAGCAGGGAGTACATCGAGATTAACCCCCTGAGGAAGTTGCCCAGCCTCCGAGATGGAAAATTTGTCTTATCTGAAAGGTAAGGACGGTTCTACCACCTTTCTCTGCTGCTCTTGGGAGGCTCAGTGGGGACTAACTGGCTGACATTTATTTAGCTTCTTGCTTTTTTTTTCACACAGGTACTAAAGGTGAAACCCCACACACCCATCTTCCAGTTCTAGCTGTTGACTCGGAGCCCATTTTGCATCATATACACCTGCCCTGTTCTCCTTCCTTCCAGACACTCCGATGTTTCACTCATACATGCTTAGGAATGTATGGAGCTCTTAAAAAACATCACCCCGATTGATACCTTTATGGACTTAATAAAATTAACAGCATGGAGACACTTGCCTGTAATCCCAGCATTATGGGAGGCTTAAGTAGGAGGATTGCAAATTTGAGCCCAGCCTGGGAAACTTAATGGTTCAGTGATACCCTGTCAATAAACAAACAAATAAAAGGTCTAGGATGTAGTTCAGTGAAAAGATCCTAGGTTCAATTCCCAGTGTCCCCCACTCAACAAAAGTAGTAATTCTTGGATTTCGGCAAATATCCAATTCCCACTTAGAAGTCTTTATCTCATAAATATTTTCTTAGCAGTTTTCTTGAATCAGGGTTCAAAAAAGGTTTTTTTTCTCTCTCTCTCTCTTTTTTTTTTTTTGTGGTACTGGGGATCAAACTTGGGCCCTTGTGCTTGCAAGGCAGGCAGCAAAACCACTGAACCAAATCCTGGGTCCCCAAAAGTTTTGAGTATTACAACTATTTGGTCTACCTCTTAACACTTTTCTTTTTCTACAGCCCCATGTCTGTCCATTTTTGGTTACTAAAACTGAACACTACAGACTGGGCAATTTATATAGAAGAAGAGAAGTTGAATTTAGCTCATGAGTCTGGAAAGTCCACGAGCACGGAGCTGGCATCTGCTTAACATCTGGGGAGGGCTTTCCTTCTGGGTCATGGCGTGGTACAGAGAATCCATGGTGAGACAGAATAAAGCAAGCCAGAGAGTCCTTGCTTTTACACCAGGGCATGTCTTGTGATAACTCATGAATCCGGTAGCCCTTTTATTCACGAATGGACTTGGGAACAGAGCTCTCTTGACGCATTCACTCTCAGTGGACCCAAATCTTAATGCTTCACAATGAAGATTAAACTGCAACATCTATTTTGCTGGGGATGTTCAAACCGTAGCATTCTCTGTACTCCTCAACCTCTGCATCTTTTGCATGTTTCCTACTGATGATGGTAAAGAAACGGGCTCCTTTGTTCTGTGGCATTTCCTATACCAGCCATCAATCAGCTAGGCTTGAGACATCCCCCTCCCGCCAAACCGTGTCTCCATCTGACCCCTGAGTGTTCCTGAGGCCTCTGCCACCCTTCCCCTTACACACATACGCATACATTTCCCCTGGGGATTGCTGGAGCCTCCATCTTGGTGTCCCTGTTGTTGATTCCTCCACCCAGCACCAGAGGGATGAATCTTCTCACGCCCCATAATCTTAAGGATTAAATCCAATTCTTCCTTGCACCTCCAAGGGCCTCCGTGGTGTCTCTAAATATCTCTTTTCACTCCCCACCAGCCCCGTCCTTACAGAAACACTCTCCTGCTCCCATTCTCCAAACTCACCTCACTCCTCACCCCGGCATTTAACACAAGTCCCCTGGTCTGACTGCCCTTCCTGATGCCATCCACTGACTCTTGCTATCCCTTCAGGTCTCCCTCCTTACCCTCAGTGACTATGGGACTGACAGCTTGAAGGAGGCCTTTCCCGGGGCCCTTTGGAATCCTCTTCCCCCTGGATAAATATCAGCATCTAGAGCCACCTAAGAGCAGATGGGCCCAGGCCACCCTGGTGTTGGGCCTTGAGAAGTCCAGGGCGGTGACCCCGACCTACCCTTTCTGCAGCGTGGCCATCCTCTTCTACCTGTGTCGCAAGTACAGCGCGCCTTCGCACTGGTATCCGCCAGACTTGCACACGCGCGCCCGTGTGGATGAGTTCATGTCCTGGCAGCACACAGCCATTCAGCAGCCCATGAGCAAGTTACTCTGGATCAAGGTGAGCAGGTCCGTGTCTGGGGCTCAGGGACAAGGGAACAAAAGCGTCAGGAGCCCCGGAGTCCTGTCCTCACCCTGCTGACCACTGGTGAGCTCAAGCACATCTTTCTCCCTCCCTCAGCCTCATTTCCTCTGCTCCCGCCCCTGCCTGCCTTACAGAGCTGCTAGGGGTGTGGACTGAACCATTGAGTATGAAAGAGTCTTGTTTTGGGCCGGGGATTTAGCTCAGTGGTTCCACCTGCCTTGCAAACTCAAGGACCAAAATTCAATCCCCCATACAAAAACAAAACAAAACAAGAAAGAGCCGGGTGTGTTGGTGCACACCTGTAATCCCAGCACTCGGGAGGCTGAGGCAGGAGGCTCGCTGTGAGTTCAAGACCAGCCTGGGCTACATAGTGAGTTCCAGGGCAGTCCCAACTACATAATGAGACCCTGTCTCAAAAAAACCAAAACACAAAGCAAAACAAAACAAGACAAAAAGAAAGAAAGGGGGGGGTTTAACTCAGTGGTGCTTCGCAAGCACTGGGTCCTGAGTTTGATCCCTAAAAAAAAAAAAAAAAAAAAAAAGAAAGAAAGAAGGGGTCTTGTTGCAACAAATAGAAAGACACCCAAGAAAGGCTGCTATGATGCAAGCCAGGACAGGATTCAAGAAATCTCATTTTGAGGTTTTTGGTTTTGTTTTGTTTTTTTTTGTTTTTTTTGTACCTGGGATTGAACTCTGGTCCTTGTGCTTGTGAGGCAGGTGGCAGAACCACTGAGCTAAATCCCCAGCCCAAGAAATTTCATTTTGAACTAGAGAATATAAAAATCAAAGGGCCCAGAAGACGAATAACCACTAATGTTCGACTTCTAATCTTATGCCTATGTCAAGGCTTCTTGCACATTACTATAATAAAATACCAGAGGCTGAGTAACTTATAAAGCGAAGAGGCTTATGTAGTTCACAGTTTTGAAGGCTGAAAGTTCAAACAACAGTGCCGCCTTGGTGTGATGGGTGCAAGCACATGAGGGACCACATGGTAAGACAGGTCAGAGAGTGGGGATGGGGCCAATCTCCCTCTTTGATTATAACTTGCTTTCTTAACTCAGTGTCCCAGGAGAACTGCCTCAGTCCCTTCCCACAGCAGTGGAAATCAAACCCAGAGTCACTCTCCCACTGGGCTACGTCCCCGGCGGCTTCCCCCTTTTATTTTGAGACAGGGTCTTACTAAGTTGCTCAGGGGTTGAAATCGTGATCCTGCTGCCTCAGGCTCCCCAGTAGCTGAGGCTGTGGGTATGCACCACCATGCCTGGCCAGGCTCGAGCACCCAAGTTCCCACCACATCTCACATTGCCACACTGCAGACCAAGCTTCCAACACACAAACTGAAGACACCTCCAAACCATAGCAACTTGTGACAGACGTCACTAATCACAGGATTCCTTCTTGCTGGGTTCTCAAATTCCCTCTGAATCCATGGCCCCAGGAATCTTCTCTTAGTCAGAACGGCAAAAAAAAAAAAAAGAGAGAGAGGAAACTACTTTACATCCTTGGTACTGTCCAATATCTAGCAGATAAGGCTACGGAAGCCTGGAGGGTACATGGGACTAGGGTGCAGTGTCTCCTTCCCTTGTCTCCCCAACCTGGCCAGTTGCTGATCCCAATGATCACGGGAGAGGAGGTTTCACTGGAGAAGACAAACCAGGTACTCGAAGAGGTGAAGAAAAACCTTCAGTTATTCGAGGAGAAGTTTCTGCAAGACAGGATGTTCATCACAGGGGACCACATCTCACTGGCCGATCTGGTGGCCCTGGAGGAGATGATGCAGGTGGGGGATGGGAGCCTGGGGGTGGGTCAGAGCCTGGGCAGAGGCAGAATGCATCTGACATCAGCAGGGCTATAAAGTGAGGCTCGATCAGTGAAGGCAGAGAGGTAGGCAGGGACACGGTGAGAGTTGTGGAAGTCAGGTCTGGGTGCCTGGACTCCCTCTGGAAAGGAAGCACAGAAGGTTTTGAATCAAGCAAGGAGAACAATCATCTTTCTTGAAAAGGATTCCACAAGGTGGGGAGAAAGTAGCGGGTAAGATTGGGATAAAGAGAATACTGCATTCCTTGGTCTGTCAACCAGGATCTCAAATGCCTCCTCCGTCTCTGGACTTACAGGAAACATTCCGAGGCCCCAGAGGTGTCTTCTTGGCCTTGCCTCTTCTCCAGAGATCCAGACAGGTGCTGGGTCAGGGCGGTGTCGGGTGTGCATTTACGTGGCCTTGACAAGCAGGGAACAGTAGCCAGTTCTAAGGTAGCTGGTATGTGCAGGGCGGCCAGTTTAGATCCAGTCAGTGTCTTGAGAGGCCAGCACAGTCCCCGGTTGGTAGGCAAAACGGTCATTTTAGTCCCTCTTCAAAGTGCAGTGCAATGTACCGGGAAAAACCATTCTGGCCTGTCCCAAGCCTACAGCCCTGCACACTTTATACTGTAGCCCCCTGTACCCCTTCTGAGCCTCCTAACACCTTGAATGAATATTTCTTAATAAGCCAACCACGGGCCAGGAGTTTAGCTCAGTGGCACCATGCCTGCCTCACAAGTATGAGGTCCTGAGTTTGATGCCACGTAAGCCACCCCACCCAAGCCAACCAGACTGCTGCATCTGCTCTTTCAGCATCTGTGCCTGATTACAGAGGGAGGTTCACCATAGGAGGAAAGGTGCTGAAGTCCCTTCCCCATTCCTGGGGATGGCGTTTCCCTCAGAGATGCAAGACCCACGGGGAGTTTCAGGCTAGAGAAGTGGAAACTACCTCAGCGAAGGGTCAGAAAGGGATTCGGAAACTTTGCAGCAAGACCAGGGACCAAAGTATGCAGGGAATTATGGATCCTCCATCGTAATTTCACATCTATTACATAGCTTGTGACCCCTAGCCCAGGCCTCGAATGACTAAGTCTTTGATAAGGAAGGCCCTCGAGACTGCAAGAGAAGACCCAAGGGGGTTCGTCCCCAGCCTGACTACATTTTCCTTTTTGTCTGTCCACAGCCCATGGGGGGCAATCACAATGTCTTCCTTAGCAGCTCCAAGCTGGCGGAGTGGCGCATGCGGGTTGAGCTGTACATTGGCTCTGGTCTCTTCTGGGAGGCCCATGACCGGCTGGTGAAGTTAGCAGAGTGGGACGTTTCAACGTTGGATCCCATGGTCAAGGAGCGGATCTGCAAGTTTCTGGAGACTTACAAGTGACCCAGAGGCAGCTCATCCTCCAGAGCCCAGCTGACTCAGCCCTCTGAGCCTCCTTCCTTAGTCAAGACGCTAAAGGACAATTTTGTTCTTTTATCTAATAAAGAACTGGAACTACCATCAGGGTTGCTGAGTTGGGATAGTTGGTATAAGCAGAGTCTGATGTAGGAGCTCACGAGTCCTTTCATTTTTCGTAAGTGTAAAGGATAAATATGACATTGTCAACAATAACTGATGACTTCAATATCCCTTTTCAATAACAGAATAACTAGATAGAAATGCATCAAGGGATCTGGGCGTGGTGGCACACGCCTGTAATCCCTGCACTCGGGACTGAGGCAGG